ATTATTATTATTATTTCCTTAAAGATCAACACCCCCACTGAACCACTGGAGTCTTTTAAACATCATGTGAAATGTGTAATGATTACAGAATAAAATAATTTCCACTCGACCCTAATCTCCTTTCAGGTTAGTGGGTGCCATCAGATCTCTCCTCAGGGATTGGTCCTCATCAGAAAGAGTACTCTGGGAGTACGGGGTCCTGCTCCATCCCGGCTCGTTCACGCCAGGCGCTGCCGCGTCGTCGTGTGTGGTGTGGCAGACGTACCCGAGCCGGCGGTGAAAAGCATCTGAAGAGATCTGTGCAAGCTTTCCGGGTGCTTCGTTTTTTTATTTTCTCCCGGTGACAATTTACAAGCGAAGATGACTTGAGCTCTGAAAGGTCTCTCGCTGGGATGTAGTCTTTTTCACTGCCGCCGCTGCTGCTGCTGCTACTGCGTCAGTGACAGGTGCTTCAAAATCTCTGCAGTGATTAAAAAGCAAAAAACATGCCTTTTTAATCCCTCCCCATCCCAGGTGGCGTAGGTAGAGCTGTTTGGGCTCATTTAGCACAGTGCTGACGCACTCGGTGCTCTTGTTGGAGCTGTTGTTGTCTGCGGAAAACTCCAGACTGATTGTTGTGTGCGGGGATCGTTTGCGTTCGTCCCGGGCTCCCGAAAAAGGTTGGTTTGACAACTGGAGGGGTAAAACCGCAGGTGAACAGCTCGTGCCTAGGTCTGATCCTTTTTTAGACGCGCTGGGACCTTGTGTCCCGTCTGCCAGGCGGGGAAGAACGTGGTGTCTGTGCTTCCCGTTTCAAACCTGATCCGAGAGCCCGGATCGGCTTCTGGGAGCCTCTCCCTCTGGTGGCTTAATTGACGCTAATAGCCGAGCGCTTTGGGAACACCATCCATGACTGGCAGCTAAAAGCGGGATTATTTCAGCACTTGTCACATTAATCTCTCTGGTTTTAATGAGCTCTCTCTGGTAACCAACTAAACTGAAGTCCTAAAGTGCACCTGACTAATGGAGGCTGGGAGCTTTTTAAATGTGGATTTGTATTTACGTGATGTTTCTTCATTACCAGTCAGTGTGGATACCTGCAATGCTACGAGGAAAATGATTGGTTTTGCAGGGGTGCTGCACTATCTCAGTCATTTTGACGCAACAGGTGGTCCTGGGTATATTAAAAGCTGGTTAGAATTTTGGGTGAAAGACGGCCTAGCTTTGTGCACAGCTCTATAGCTGCTTTAAGCCCACAGCTCGTCTCCCATCAAGCTCCAAAGTGTAAATGTGCGTGATTTATTGTAAATGGGCTTAGGAACCTGAATAAGAGCTCACCCTGCCTTATCCCTCTTATGATCAAATGTTAGTTATTTCTTACATTCTAAAAGCAGCAATATTTTGATCTGCAGAGCCTCTGGCAACTTTAACTTGGAAGCCTCTGTCTGAAATCTGGATGCATCTGGTTATCCTGTGCAGGCGTGTGTGTTGCAACAAGCCTGGCTCTCTGTGTGCGCTTGTGCCTGCGATCTGGCTCCGTGTGCACGGTGACTGTGATGTCCGTGTGTGAAGGTGTGCGATGGGGAGAGCTGTTTGCCGAAGATGATTTATTGCAGTCCCCCCCCCTACTGCCTGGGAGATTGACGGACGAGAACCGGCTCTTTCATCTCGGCACTATTATTAGCACAAAGGTGCAGGCACCACAGCAGGCAGAGACATGGACGGTCTCTGCACCTTCTCCTCCTCTCGTCCACTGCTGTAGCCGCAAGTGCCTGGACGTCATCTGTAACCGTCGTCAAGCCGGTCCAGAACCGAGCACGGGAATTCACCGGGAATGACAACGTCCGGAAATGAGGCCTAGTTAAAAGGTTTATGGAGTGTTAAAATTCACCCGCTTGGCCTGACCTCCTGGCCAGGGGGGTGAGGAGGCTGGGACCCCCCTGCAGGGCAGGAGTGACCCAGGGGCAGCTGCAGAGGGGGAGATGAGTTGGAGGTGGGATGCAGAAGACGTGTGCGAGGGAGAGAAAGGAGGGGAGATCACCTGTAGTATTAATATAGTTTAGGTGAGGAAGTGACATCAGGATTGATCACAAGTTACTGACATCTGAGGCTGAACTTGTCATCCCACCCGAACATTCTCTGTAACCTCCGGGCTTGGCATTGAAGGTTGGGGTGCCCGCCTCTGCTCGTGCTGTGATTCGCATCCTCTAGGTGACCAGTTTCGGTGTGAAGGGCTCCACAGCTGTTGTCCAGGCTGGAGGCCTGCTTGCTCTCTCTCTCTCGAGTTCTGCGGCGCCAAGCCCAGCATGCGCCTTTAGTAAGGGTCTGACCTCTCCTCAGAGCCCAGACGTACTGGTCCGGATCGGGCGGTGCTCCGATCGCAGGGGAGGGCTGGGGGCCTGTGGCTGAAAGGTGTGTTTCAGGACAGGAAGAACAGAAAATAAAGCTCTTCCGTCTGCGGGGCTCGCTAGAAAGCAGGCTCTGTTTGTTTTTTTAAATGGAAGAGAATACCCATATATTGAACAGTAATTACCAGTGTCCCAGGTAGGGTTTTGTCTCGCTTTGTACTGGGGTTAAGCCCCATCTTCCCCATGGCGCTATATTGGATAAAGATGGATGGCTGAATGATATCTATCTC